CCCCCCCCCCCCCCCCCCCCCCCCCCCTTTCCTCTCACTCCGCGAAATGCATGTGTGTGGTGGGAGGGGTTTAGGGTGTAGGAGGGGGGGGGGGAGTCGAACATGGCAATGGAACCTTCACAAAACGTAGCTTCTTAGTATTTCTCTACTAAATTTAGATTACAGTTTGTTTTGATTTGGATATTTCAAGTGTTTCAGATTTCCTTGTGTTTCACATTCGTCGCCAACATGGTTGGTGGTGTCACTGTTTATTTTATGATTAAAATAAACAATAATAATACGCTGATCAAATTTTAGAACCAAATTTAGAGTTCAAATGATATAACAGCTGACTTTGACTTTTTTATTTGGTACCATGTCATTTGGACCCTAATAAAAACTTCAAATAATATGTTATCATGTCATTTAAGTTCTAAATTTAGTCCTAAAATTTAGTCAGAGTAAAATTGTGACTCACTAAGACACTACAATGTATACTAATACTATGATTGAAATATACTAGTGGTTATTGACATACGAGATTAATTTTAGACATGGGTGGGGTCAAAACTGGCCCACCTTAAAAGAAAAATGTAATATTAGTGACGTGTTTATTTTAGTAGTGCCCACCCATGACCGAATATGAGAATGAATCCACTATTTGTTTATTTACACTTCTTGGGTCAACCCAATTTTTATTTATTTACCTTATTATTATTAGTCCTACTTTCATATAAAATTCTTTTCTATTTAGAAATATTTTATTTGTTAAGTTGGTATTATTACATTGCTATGTTTAAAAACTTCATTGTAGCAGCCCAATCCATCTTGGGTGTTGTTGATTCTTAAAGTCATAGATATCTTACTTTAATTGCAATGCTATGTTTGTCAAATATTTTTTATTTGCATCTTATTGCAAATTTAATTTATTGTTTCTTATTTTATTGCTTGATCCTTGATTAATTATGAATTGCTATTAAGTACCTAATTTTGAGTGCCTGTAGTGAACAAAATTGTCATGGTCAATTATAAATGGTTTAAAATTGACCCATTTTTTTTTTGGACCCATTGTAAACACAGGCTTACCACTTTTTTTAGGCATTTTTTTCTTTAAGGAAATCTCAAAAGTATTGAATATGAAATATTAAATTATTAAAAGGTAATTCGTGTCTGAAAGTACAGTACAACATAAATGAGAAGTGATAATTTTGGGAGAGGAGAAAAATTCAATATAAACGGTTTTGAAAGAGATATTGGTGGCCGTTGGATAAGTCTATTTAAGACCGTCGGATGAATTTATCAAAGTCTACCATGTTTTATATTATAGATTATAAATGGAATAAAAAAAATTAAAAGTTTGTTGAAGTGTCGGGTGCCCACTTGGAAACAAATTTCTAGCTCTTCCCCTGATTTTCAGAGTGATTCTTTAACCTCCACTTGTGTCATTTTCCTCAATGTCCAATTATAGCTCCTCCTACTAGGGTAATTCTATGGTGTCGGGAAAAAAAA